GAGAATTGGAAGGCAAAGCATGGGGTCTGGAACTAGGGAAAGAGTCTAGAGTGAGTCTACCAAGAGCAGCCAGATAACAAAAATCTAAGCAAGATCAAGTCTCAAGTTTACAGGCTTTAGAGCTGGACACAAACCTTGGAGAGCACCTAGTTTAATCCTCACACAAATCTGAGGCAAAGCATACAGGAAGGCAGTGGTCAGAAGCCATAAAATAACAACAATAACAACATTTACATGGACACGGTTTTAAAAGTCCTTATAAGGAAGACAAGTTGGGGTAATGAGAAGAGCACTTGACATGGAATCAGAGGACCTGGATTTGAATTCTAGATTTACTATTTCCACTAGTGGGATCTTCACCTTTCTGGATCTCAGTTGCTTTGTCCGTAAAACCAGGAGTTAGGCAAGAGCCCTTCTAGTATGAAATCCTCAAGTTCTTCTCTGGTATGGCTGTCTCCAGACATTTGCCATCTAGCCAGGACTCACTCATCTTATACCAGGGAAGTTAATTTTTTAATCCTTTCATATAACTTTACATTCATACCTATTAAATTTCATCATATTCAATTCAGGCTAACATTCTAACCTGACTCTGTCAGGATCTAAAGGCAGTAATCAGAATAGCAGATAAAGTTTGGCTAGACAGACAGGAACCAGGAAAAGTTTTAGGATCAAGGAAAGAAGAGAATAATAATCTTTCCTACTGGGAGGTTCCAGGCTTTTATATTGTTCCAGTGGAGGCAGGAATCAATCCCAGCATGACTATCGAAGACTGAGCAGGTAATTGAGAATGCCACATACCTGGGGAAGGTACTCAGGGACAGGCATATAATGTACTCCAGAAGACAGATATTAACATGTGCTTGTCCTCTGTTTCCATTATACCAGGCCCCTCACCACCACCACTTTCATCACTTTCTTCACATCTGTTCTTCATTCTCCATTCACATCTTTTTTTTTCATTCTAGAGTAGAATTTCTTCAGAGTCTGTGAACTTAAAATTTTATTTTGATAATTATATTCAATATAATTGATTTCCTTTGTAATCCTACGTATTTTATTTTGTGTATTTAAAAACATTCTTCTGAGGAATCTATTGACTTCACCAGACTGCCACAGGGGTCCATGACCCATGACCCATGCCATAGGTCCATGACCCACCGTTCTAGAGGTTGCCAGAATATCAGTGACTCTTTAAATGCCAAGCTCTTACTACTATTAACCTGTGTGTGTATGTAATAATCTCATTTCTATTATTAAGGCTTGCAAAGTACTTTTCTCACAACTCTACGTAGGTAACATACTTAGCTGAGTACATGCTATTTCATTCACTCAAAATGCATTGACCCATCTGGGAGGAAAGAAGCTGTTGCACCCTACTCCACCAAGAGTGTGGCCTCACTCCTTGTGGAACATTGCCTTGCCACCCAGGATGAAAGCATAACCACTTGCCAGCTGGATATAGGGGGGATCTGGTAGCTCAGATGACCTGATAAGTTTGATCAAGGGTGTTGTGAGGCTCATATGTGATAATGGATGTAAAGCATTTTATAAACCTTAAAGTGCCATATAAATGCCAGTTATTGTTATTATTATTATTATCCTATAACCTCCAGTCTGGTGATTATTTTATTTTTGGTGAGGGCAATTGGGGTTAAGTGACTTGCCCAGGGTCACATAGCTAGTAAGTGTTAAGTGTTTGGTCTGAGGCCAGATTTGAACTCAGATCTGCCTGACTCCAGGGTGGGTGCTCTATCCACTGTACCACCTAGCTGCCCCAGTATAGTGCTGATTGAGCCTTCTACTGTACTACTGAACTCAAGCAATGTTTATAGAGCAATTACAAGAGAGAGCTAGTAAATTTAATCTGCATTATCAACACTGTTTTAGGTCCAGAAAATCAACAAGATAATTAAGCCCAGATTTTAGCGATTGCCAATTTCAATGTGAATGTTCACACTGAAAATTTAACAATGGAGTCTCAAAACAATGTATCTGCAACACAGTGGAGAATAATTACTGAGCTACATAGATTATCTCCAATATGAGCATTTTGCACCTGGGTGGTCAGGAAATGATTTGTATGCTATGAAAGAAAGTCTTAACTCTAGCAAAATATAAAAAGGATCACATTCATGATTTAATCTGAGAAAGAAATTTTGTGTTAGTGATATTAGACAGCTGACATAAAATTTTGTTTTTTTAATGTTGATGATTTCTAGGTGATTTTCAGAATTGGTATTTGTCCTGCATTACTTATGTTTACTATATGGTAAGATTATATGACTAATGTTATATATAGACTTTACATGGAATATTGACATTTATGTCAATTTAACTGCCTTCCTACATACCTATCAATGGGTAGGAAGGTGTCACAATGAATAGAGTGCCAGGCCTGAAGTCAAGAATACCTGAGTTCAAGGATTTCAGACCCTAAGTCACTTAACCCTGTTTGCCTCAGTTTCCCCATCTGTAAAATGAGTTGAAGAAGGAAATGGCAAACCACTTTAGTATCTTTGCCAAAAAAACTCCAAACAGGTTCATAAAGAGTTGGACACGACTGAAAAATGAATGAATAACAACATACACTTATCACATTGTGACTTGTATTCTAGGTATCTGGAACAGGATCTTGTCTCCCAACTAGAGTATAAACTACTTAAGAACAAGGATGGTGTCATTTCATCTTTCTATTCCCAGAACCTAGCACTAGCAAAGCCAATAGGGAATTAAAAAAAAAAAATTAATTTTAAAAATTTTTAAAAATTATTCTTTTTGATGGGGATGGTATGGCTCTCACACTTGGGTATGAGAACTCCCTCTGCTAGTTAATGTCACACTCCATTCATAACTTAGTATATAAGCCTTAGAGAATGGCCAAAGGTCTAAAGAGGTTGTGACCCTGCTCATGGATACCCTGGTAGCAAATATCACAGGCAGAATTTGAACCTAGGTGTTCCTGATTCCATGTCCAGCACCCTGTCAGCCACACCACACTTGACATTCTCTCCACTTTAGTATGGTGCCTCTCCCTCGAACATACTTGCCCCTCAACTCTGCAAATTATTCAATTAATTAAATTAGTTAATGTAACAGTAAAACCAGAACAAACCCATTCATTTACCATGAATCATATTGAAACAAAAGCCAAGAGTTCAGTGGTTGTGATGTAGATAGAATGTTAGTAGTAACAATAACCCAAATTTATAAGATAACCCTTGAGGTTACAATGTTCTTTAGTCTACAGTATCTTATATGGTTCTCACAACAACCCTGTGCAACAGGTAGAGTAAATATTAACTCATTTTATAGATGAGGAAGCTGAGGCTATGGAATTGAAGTGACTGGCCCAAAAGTCACAAAGCCTAGACAGGGCAGAGGGAGGACTCAGGACAAATGACTTCAACTCTGGAAGGCTAAGTTCCTTCCTCTGTAAAAAGGGAATGATAATGATTCCAAGTCTAGAGTTCTTGAAGGAAATTAGTGTCCTGACTCTTTATGGCCCCAGTTGGGGTTTTCTTGGCAGAGATACAGGGGTGCTTTGCCATTCCTTCTCCAGTTCATTTTTTAGATGAGGAAACTGTGGCAAACAGGGTTAAGTGATTTGCCCAGGGTCACACAGCTAACCTACTAAGTGTCTAAGGCTGGATTTGAACTCAAGAAGATTTATCTTCCTGACTCCAGGCCCAGCAGTGTTTCCACTTTTCACCACAATTAGCAGATAAAATAATACCTTATATTTACATAGTGGTAGAATCCCTCCCAACTCTAAAACTATGAGCCTTTGGGCTCATAAGTAAAGGGATTTAATCAAGTCCTCAGTTAGTAGCACATATAGAACTTCAATCATATGTTTTAGTCCCAGAATAAGTGAAGTGAGGTATGGTTCCAAGGATGACATTTTCCACTACAGGACAGTCAGGTGTTTGTTTGTTTGTTTGTTTGTTTGTTTGTTTGTTTTAACAGTATCAAGTATTAGAATCTTCTTTTTATTTTGTCTGTTGGATAGAGAAAGGTGGAAATTGACCACGATTTGCCACCTTAAAAAAAAACACAACAAAACTGGGAGTTGCCCCTAAGTCGCAATGTCTCTTAGGAATAGCCCTGAGCTGTTGTTTCAACCCTGATAAATCTTAGCACACTATTTGAATTGCCCACAAGATAACAGGTGTCTTTCAGAGGCACCCAAGAACCAGTCCTGTTCTTCAGAATTTGAAAATCAATTTAATCATACACCTGAATTTTCTTCCCTACCAAGTGGAGTTGGGAGGAGGGCGGTTGTTAGTGGAGGGGTATGAGGTGGGCTTCGTTTGTTTTTCCTTTCCTTTATTACATCACTATTAATGGCGGGGGGCCTCTACTGCCTTATCTTTACTTCAGGTCTTCTTAGAGGAAGCGTCCTAGGGTCGAGCTCGTTACTTTTTTTTTTCGCAAAATGTTAGGCTCCCCAAGCTGCGTAAACCACAGAACCCACCCGAGCATAGTCCTCATAAAGTAATTCCGCTATTGATTCTTATAACCACCGCTTCCCATTTATCTCTTCCATCAGTTGGCTTGGGGTTCTATGATTGGGAGCTGAAATGACACACACACACACACACACACACACACACACACACACACACACACGTACGGTTGGGAGGAGGGAACGGTTAATGAAGTAAATGACTGCTGTTTATGTCTAGGTGATAAGCCACATTTAGCCATAATAAACGATTCCGCTCGCTTAATCAATCTGGTTCGCCCCTGCCGGTCAGATTACCTCCCCACCCCCACCCCACCCCCGCTCTCGCTACAGTCCTGGCTGTCCTCGGTCTTCTGGGGAGGGATAGCGGGCAGACTAACTGGACAATGGACCTTCCCTTAGCAGCTGTCGCCTTGGCCCCATACGGGAACCTCTGGATGACCTCCCGGGAACGACTGGGCAGCCCCCAAAGCCAGGGTAGGGTCAAGGCTGCGGCCCCTCCCATCCCCCGGGCAGTGGCCAGCTCAAGGTGCCCTCAGGCTGCAGCCTCGGTAGTGGCCGTGGGCTCCCCGAGAGGCTCCCCAAATGCGTGGAGTGGGGGCAGCGCGGGCGCACCGGGGCTGGGGGCGGAGGCGGGGGCGGAGGCGCCGGGCTTCCGACTTCCTGAAGGTATAGAGAGGAGCACCCGCAGTCAGCACCCGAGATCGGGCCAGCTCCGCTGCCCTCCTACCTGCCCAGGCGGCAGTTGCGGTTCAGTGGCATCAAGTTTGCATCTACCCGACTGACTGACTCGACGCACCGAGTGACGGCCGCACGTGTCCCGCGCAGGTCATGAAGGTCCAGTTTGCCCCCATAAACATCCCCTTGGAGAGGAGGCTGCAGACCGCTGCCGTGCTCCAGTGGGTCTTCTCGTTCCTTCTACTGGGTAAGAGACCCAACTGGCTGGTGGGCTGGGGATGCCCCCTGCCTTGCTGCTCCCGCCCCGTCCTTTGCTGTCTCCTGCCCCAGGGAGCACCCACCCAGGGTCAGCAATCCCGAGTCCAGAAATTTGGCTCCTGCCCCTATCCCCTGCGGTCCCCCCACCCCATCCTCAAGCCAGATCGTTGTTAAGAGGAAATTTGGAGAGCTATGGTTCACCCACCCACCCCGCTATGGGCAGGGCTGTTGACCATCATTTAAATGGAAATATAGGCGCCCTTCTTTATTTGGGTCAGGCATTAAAATTGAAAAATACACCAGGGCTTCACAGCAGCCTTGCGGCCCTCCGCCAAGACAAATAATTGCCCTGGTTTTTTCCTCCATTTGTGATGCAGAAAGCGGGGAACGCCGGATCCACATGCTTCAGGGAATTGGATTTCTTGAAATCGTTGGACCCAGGAGCATTTTCCAGGCGTGTTTTAAGTTCAGCTCACTGCATACACATCTAATCAGACCCAACTGCAGAGGGCAAAGACAGACTTCGTGAAGGAAGCTTGCCTGATGGGCTAAGACATCTTCCCCAAAGGCACTTTCTTCTGCAAGCTTGTTTTGCCATTGATGAAAATGGGAAAACTAAATTCTGGAGGGTTGGGGGTTCTCTGGACCAGAGCTGTCTGCGGAAACCTTATAATTACTTTTTAAATTCTGAATTTTAAAAAAAAATGTGTATTTCCACATAGAGATCAGAACACAGAAAGAGGATTATGTTTGAAACTGAGTGTCCATTTCATGCAGCTTGCTTTTGTGGAAATCATTTTGTGCTCTGTTATCTCTGGTCTTATATGCCTCCTGGGGCCTGAAGTGCAAATGCAAGCAACAGTGTTGTTTGCCTGCTGTTTACAGAGTCCTGTCCTGGAAACTGGGGAGATACAAAGTTTAGATAAAACTAGGACCTTATCCTCAAAAAGCTTAAGGTGTAAGGGACAGAGGAAACACAAACACAGCCACAAAAGCCAAGATAACTGCTTTAGAGAACTCTAAAACCAAGTTGTTTGAAGGTCTAAAGAATATAAAGAATATAAAACAGAGCTGCTTGAGAGGAGGAGAAATCCAGGAAAGATTCCTGAAAGAAGCAGGTTTTTTGAGTTGGATTTTACAGGATGGGTAGAAATTAAAAAGGGTGGGTTCCCCATCCTCAAGCCCCTCCTGCTGTATTCCATCATTAGTCATTTTCCTAAAGGACTAGTGTGATTGTGTCACTTGTGATCAGACCACTGAGGAAGCTCCAGTGGTTCTCAGTTACATATAGGAAACTGGCCACGCATCACTTCCCGTGTACTGGCTGGGCCTCCTGCTTCAAATGTGCCCCTTCCTAAAACTACCTTTGATATATTATGGATATACCTACCTGGGCACATGCTGTATCCCTAACATGAGTACATACATACGCTTATTGAGGTCAGGGTCTCTTTCACCTGTGTCTTCCTATCCCCAGGCCTTAGCAGTGCCTAGAACTTTGTAGACACATTGATAAATGCTTGTTGATTGGTTAAAGATGGGGAGGGCAGACAAATTAGGCATAGGAATGGAAAGTATGGAAACCCAAGCTTGAAATGTGCTAGGGGCAGAGAACTATTTGATTTAGCCATGTTAACAGGATTTTTTTGGAACAAGTTTCTAACCTGAGAATGCTCTGAGCCTCACAAAGCAGGCCTAGAGACAGGAACTCCAATAACCAAGTAGTTTAATTAATCAGTTTCAGAGTGAGGAATGTTGTCTCAGCTAAAGCAAAAGCACAGGTTATATACTTAAATCACAAGTGGAGAAGGTGAATTACAAACAATTATTTTGAGGCTTCCCACAAGAAACCTACAAGTCCCACACTACAACAGTTCTAGAGTCAAGTCTTTGGGGATCATGACCACTAACCCTAAAGTACAGAACCAGAGTTCTGTGATGGAAGCAGGTTCTTCAATCTTTGATTCGATTCGCTTAAAGTCTAGTGATTGAGAACATTGTCAGAGTTTTGATTAATCAGTTTAGGCTCCCTAAAGTCAGTTCTGACTCCCAAGTCAGAAAGGCAGCTCTTGAGACAACTAAATTATTAGTATATTCATGACATATATAATATCAATTAATATGAAAATTATAAATTCCCTTCTCAGCTGGAATAGAGTGTAGGGGAGGAAAGACAAAGCTTGAAAGGTAGGGAGGCACCAAGTTGCAGAAAGTTCATAGATCTGGGAAGGGATCAGAAAATTCATCTAGTCTAGCCCCTTCATTTTATTGAAGAAGAACCTGAGGCCCAGGGTGGTTGAGGTGGCACAGTGGATCGAGGTCAGGGCCTGGAGTCAGGAAGCCCTGAGTTGAAATCTGTAAGTAATTTTTTGAGTTGAATTTTACTGGATGGGTAAAAGTTAAACAGGTGTTTGATCCCACACCCTCAAACCCCTCCCTACTCCATGAGGACAAGTCTGATTATGTCACTTGTGATCAGACCACTGAGGAAACTCCATTGGTTTCAGACATTCACCAGCTGTATGACTCTGGACAAGTCACTTAACTCTCTTTGCCTCAGTTTCCTCAATTGTAAAATGGGGATAATAATACCACCTCCCTCCCAGGATTGTTGAAGCCTAAGTGAGATAATAATTGTAACTTGCTTGGCATAGTGCCTGCTACATAGCAAGCACTATATACTTGTTAGCTGTCATTAGCTATTATTATTCTTCAATGTCACACAGGTAGTAAGAGACAGAGTTGAAATTTTAACTGGCCTCCTGTCCTCTGACTAGCAATCCATCGATCTTCCATTACAATATGATGCTACATAGGAATTTGTAATTTCGATGGTAGGCAGTAGAGGAGCCCCAAAAGATTTTTGAATGGAGGAGTGACACACAATAAAGATGGCCCTGGCAGCAAGCTAAGATGATGGGGATGAATTAGAAGGGGACAGTGGAAGTACTTCCCATTTACCTACCACTTTCTACTTTCCAAAAGGCTTATTCCTAAAGAAGGACTTTATCTCAAATTTCATTTAAGTTAATCAGTCAAAAACGTTTATTAAGCACTTCAACTTGGAATCAGATCAGACTTTGAGCCATGATTCTATTTTTTAAAAAATATTTCCCCCAATTACATGTAAAAACAATTTTTAACATTTGGGTTTTTTTTTTAAGTTTTGAGTTCCAAATTCTGTTCCTCCCTCCCACCTCTCCCCTCCCCCCTCCTCCCTGCCCCAGAGAGGATATGAAATCTGATATAGATTATAGCATTTTTCATTATGAGTCTTTTGGGATTGTCTTGGATTATTGAATTGCTGAGAATAGTTAACACAATTGATCATCTTCATGATATTGCTGATACTTTATACAGTGTTCTCCTGATTCTACTAACTTCCCTCTGCATCAGTTCATGTAAGTCTTTCCAAGTTTTTTTCTGAAATCTTCTTGTCTTGAATCATGATTTTAACACTGTCTATAGGGTCATGGGCAAGTCCCAGAATCTCAGAGTGTGAAGGGACCTCAGAGGCCATCTAATTCAAACCCAAATCAGAAGAATGAACAACATCTCTTATAAGATCAAATCTTCACTTGAATGTGTTCAGAAAGGGAAATCCCACTATCTCCTTGCAGCATCCCAATTCATTTTGGACAGCTCGATCTGTAAGAAACTTTTTCTCCCTTACATGAAACCTAAATTTGCTTCTTTGAAATCTGAACTCATTGCCCCTACTTCTGTCTTCTGGGACCAAGCAGAGGAAGCCTAATAAACACTCTTCCACGTGGAATAGGGAAATAGAGACCAGATCAGTGATTTAATTGATTATAAGGATCCTGCATAAATAAGCTCCCTCTACTAAGGCAGGATAGTACCTTCTCTGCTAGAGAAAACTAGACAGCACATGGATAGTGCACTGGGCCTGGAGTCAGAAAAACTTAAGTTCAAATCTGGCCTCATACACTAACTGTGTTGCCCGTGGTGAATCACTAAACTGCTTATTTGCCTCAGTTTCCTCAACTGTAAAATTGGAAGCATAATATCACCTACCTGGTAGGGTTGTTTTGAGGATCAAATGAGATATCTGTAAAGCTGCTCAGAACAGTGGCTTGCACATAGTAGTGCTTAATAAATATTTATTTGTTCCCATTGCCCACTCCAACCCCCAACCTGTATAGTCTCAGAGAATTGCCTACTGTTGAGCAGTTAAATGATTTGCCAGGCTTACACAGACATTAATGTGTCAGAGGCAGGATTTGCATCCAGACCTTCCTGACTTCCAGACTAGCTCTATACCCACACGAGGACCCTACAAAAAACCAATGAAAGCCATCCTGTCCTCTGCTGAGTCTTCTCCTGCACGTAAACACTTCCAGTTCCTTCAACTGCTCTTTACATGAAATAGACTAAAGCCCCTTCAACATCCTAGTTACCCTTCTCTGGCTGTTCTCTAGCATATTAAATCCCCTCTAAAGTCTTCTCTGTACTAAATACCACCAGTCCCTTCAATAACCAATCCTTATAATTCACTTAACCTCTCCAGGTTCTGATTTCCTCATCCCTAAAAATGGTGATGACAAAACCTCTATTACTTACACCACAGGAGGCAAGAAGCACTAAGTGACTTGCCAGAGTCACACAACTAGTAGGTATCTGAGGCTGGATTTGAACTCAAATTCTCCTGACTCCATGGCTGGTGCTTTATTCACTGTGCCACCTAGCTGCCTCCTCAAAGAGTTGTCTTAAAGAAAATTCTAGGAAAATAATTTCTGTTGAAATTACTGTTCTGCTCTACTGACACATTAAAATGATTTCATTTGTATTCTTTTTGGCAAGTGAAAATGGAATGAATAGCAGCTACAATGTATTTTGTATTATCTGCAAAGGTCTCTAGATTATATTAAAAAGATAAATTGAAATTCTAATCTTTTCACAATGTTTCAGGAGACTGAATTCAAGCTGAGGGGTAAACATTATTAGCTCTTGCCTGGGATCTCAAAGAAC